GGCTAATCACACATATCCTCAAGTGGCTGCAGGACTCAGAGATGTCAGCCTGTCACTGAAATGGAAACCCCTCCCTGGATGATGGGCTTTCCTAGTACTGGAAGGCACCATACAGGCTACCAGGGCAGAGTGTCCACCAAAGTCCTGCTTAGTCGTGGATCCTACATGCCACACTCCAAACATACACAAGCTGCACCAGCTAACGCAACAGTGGTGTCACTGTTAAAGGGACAACCAACCATTTTCTCATGGGAATTAAGGCTGACCGCACCAGGAGGAACCCACATCTGTACTGCAAGTCAGAGGGGCAGGGCAGGAATTGTTGTTGAGAAGGTGGTAGTCCCTATCGTGGAGACACTACGACATCTTAGTAAGTGGCTGTGATATACCTGGGCATGGTTGCACATGTTTGTAATCCCAGGAGTCTGAGTCAGGATGATCACCATGATTCAAGACCAGCCTGGGCTACATAGAGAGTTCTAGGCCAGCTGTGGATACATAAACCCTGTCTTTAAAAAATGAAAATAAAAGGGTGTGATGTGATGTGCCTGCCAAAATTGCCAACTGATATCCACAGGTTACTGCTGCCCTCAGCCTGTCATGAGCTGAGCCTCCTTCACAGTGGGAAGGGGTGACTGCCTAGACGGATGGACTCATCAAGTGTTCAGAGTAAGGACCACTGCTGTGGCCGGGTAGCCCAGTGTTCACCCTTAAGTGAAAGAGGATAACCAGGCATCACCTCCTCCAAGCCCCATGAAACGTGGCAGGAGATGAGGTGGAAAGAGCGTGAGAGCCGGAGAGAGTGCGGGACATGGTGGAACACAGCCTTGGTGTGGGCCTTTGCTGTTAGAGCTGAGTCCAGCTCACGTTTCCCCACTTATTTTGCCTAATAAGCTGCATGTGTTGACTACTCCGGGGGCTTGTGCACGATGCCCAGAAAAGTGAGCATGCCCAGGGAGCGGCCACCCTTTGCAGCTGCAATGGAGGAGATCATTGTGGTTACTTTCTCCTCTTCCTGACAGATGGTTCCTGTCGCTCAGCCATCCCAGTCCTACCCCTCCACACACAGCTCCACAATGGCTGGAATGCAGGGGACTCAGTGTAAGGGACCAGGCAGACAGCTGTGGACCCCTCAGTCCAAGGTGAGTGACTCGGTGCCAGACAAGAGGGTGCACACCTGTGCCTACCCACGTCAAGGCCACCTCCTAAGGCCCAGCTCGGCTCCTAGAAAACAAAGTAACTCTAAGGTGTGGAACGGGGTGGGGGTCCTGCTGGTCACAGTCACTCACGTCCTCCAAGTTCCTCTACTGGGCTGAAAGCTTTGCACAGGGAACTGGCTTCCTGTGGGTCGGAGGCAGGATTCAAACCCACATCAGCCCACATTCAAAGCTGTGCACACGGCACACTGCCTCTACCCACCTCCCTATGGCCAGTGGGACCCAGACGTGCAAAAGGACACAATTGTGGTCAGCCTGTAAGGACTCATGTGGGTCCCCAGAGGCAAATGGTTCCCATGGTGGGCCTGGGATCAGAAAGAAACCTGGCAGAAGGGGACCTGGTCCCCACACAGTTGAGGACACCTTCCCTTTCCAAGCCCCCCTGGACAAGCCTTTGTTATTGACTAGTCATGCCCCAGGGCCTAAGGAAAGGGCCCTGGGGCCTCAGATGTGAGGAAGGAGAAAGTTGAGAAAGCTCCCTGGAAATCCAAGTCTTGCCTTGGGGGAGAAAAGCAAACAGTTTCTAACAAAGTGAAAGAGACACCATTGTCCTTGACAGCAGGGTCCGTGATGGTACTGTTGCCGGGGCAACAGCAGAGGAGGTGGGGGAGGGAAGTAGAAATCACTGGTTCCCACTGTTCTGTGGAGTAGTGGTTGGTCCCCTCCCTCTACAAAGTACCCAAAACAGAAACTTGGGCTGCCCTCACAGAGGGCTCAAGAAGCAGCGTACTGATCGCCCCCGCAGGACCAGCGCCCTTCTCCTCACGCCACGGCCATGTCAGAGGAGCAGCAGATGGCAGTTGACTTCAGGGCGTCAGCCCATCAAGAGTCGAATCCCTGATGGGTGAATCTCCTCCGACAGACAAGGCCCCGAGACCACAGACCCCGGAATGCCTTTTGCTTCTGCTCTGCCCTCGCATGTTTGCGGCTGCCATCTTTCTCCGGGATCTGGCGCGGTGTGGATGGGTGTGGGGAGCAGAGCTGGCTGTTTTTCATGTATACGAGTT